TGGACCAGATTTTTGGTGCTTGACTAGTGAGGACTTATGGACACAGTGGTGTTGTTGTTTAATATTTGACTCAAGTGCGCCCCCTAGATTATTCAAACTGTTATATCTCAGTGATGTATTGTCCGATCTGTACCAGATTTTTGGTGCTTGACTAGTGAGGACTTATGGACACATTGGTGTTGTTGTTTAATATTTGACTCAAGTACGCCCCCTAAATAAATCAAACTGTTATATCTCAGTGATATATCGTCTGATCTGTACCAGATTTTTGGTGCTTGATTAGTGAGGACTTATGGACACAGTGGTGTTGTTGTTTATTATTTGACTCAAGTGCGCCCCCTACATTATTACAGTTGTTATATATGCTGTTGCAGCTGATGTCAAAGGTTCTGTGAATGCGCACTCCGGAAAATGGGCGCGTGACAGTAGCGTGAGCGTTCTCCATGGCGACCGGGAAGAGTAGCTCGAGTTCCCGCGGTCGCCATGAGGCCGCAGCGGCGCTTAGCTGCGAGGGCCTTCAACGCTGCTTGCAGCTTTAATTATCATATTATTATTATTATTTAACAAACTTTGAACTATTTTCCTCCTTGCGCTTTTGAAAAATTCATTGCAGTCCATGAAGCTCTGGGTACAACAAACTGTCAAACTATTTTTTTAATTGAGCTCTATTAACGGAGAAGTTAATTATTTGTATTTTTCCCATTGCACATGTGAAGCACACACATGTGAAGCACACACATGCGAAGCAGAGGGCTGCCATCCAAGGCACCCGGGGAGCAGCTGGGGGGGTTAAGGGCCTTGCTCAAGGGCCCAGAGTGGGACAGAAGAGGGTAGACGCAGGTGTTTCACCTTTTCCACCCACATTTTGATGTTGTCGGTCTCAGGGGTTGACCTTCGACCCTCCGATCACGGCCCACCCTCTCTAACCGCTGCACCACCACTCCCCCCAAAATAAAAATAATAAAAATAAATCCAGATTTAAACAAACCAAGTTTATTAAAAACCAGCTGAAATTAGGAAGCTGTAAGATTAATTTTCTCCGTGGATGTACTGTGTCATACAACCAGTGTTAGAGTGTTAAAATAATTTAATGTTGAATTATTTCTTGTTCACAACAACAACGTCCTGTTCGTTACGAGACAAAGAGCGCATTATGATCTGAGCCCAGCTGTCCTGCTCGTCCTTCGGTCATGTGTGCGATGGATTTAAGAGCAGCTCAGAAAAACAAAAAGCCTCATCGTGGATCCTGCAGAGCAGGTTTGAGGGTTTAACAAGACGTGTGCAGCTCGCTGCAGGAACAACTTCATCCCCTCTCTCTCGAGGGAAGGTGGCCATGGGTGTGAAAGTGCACCTCCCTCTCTTTGCCGTGCTGGCACTGGAAACAAACCACAGACAAAACTGGAGACGACACAGTTCTTCCTGGAAACTTTTAATTGTTTTGACAACTCCTCACAAGCCAGTGGTCCAGTCCAACAGTGCACACGTGCCCCCTCGCACTGGCAGGAGGGCGGTGAGGTAAAGTCGGCGTTGAATGTGAAAATTAAAGGCTTTATCTTTACATTAATAATAGCTGTTGTCCCTTCAATAGGGAAGTAAGTTCAGATCAGCCTTAACGCTGCAGAGAGGTTTAATGCACGGACAGTAATTCAACAATGATTTCCACGTGTCAGTGATGAACTTGTCAAGGACAAACTCAGACTTTATGATTTTTCTTGTTTTCTGTGAACAGAATCAGAAGTCCTCTTCATTTTAACACGAGTGCAACTTCACAGAATCAAATCAAACCACCTCCTATCCTTTTTTTTTTGTTGTTGTTGTTGCCAAGTTCCAAAAGTCCACGGTGCCGAGCAGGTCGAAGCTGTCGGAGTTAATAAGTACAAAAGCTGTGCAGCTCCACCACGTACTGAGGGCCGCTTCACATCCACAGCCTCTGCCGTGAGCCCACATGCTACATTTCAAACTACCGTAGTTCAAAAACACTGTGAGGAGTTGATCTCATGTTGTGAGGACATTAGAGCAGAAGCATGTTCATTCACCGAGGCGGAAACACAATATTTACAACATACTGCAACCAAACAAACAAACAAAAACAAGTTCTGATAAAAAATATAATTACAATAGTCCATTTTTTAGCATATAAGTCTTCCTTTCACATAGAACGCTTGTCTCTATATTTACAATCTTAATGGTCTCGAATCAGAATTGTTCTTTACATTATGAAACATTTGAGACACGTGGGACGGCAGCAGGTCATCTGTTGGACCAGCAGATGCTCAGAACGCTGCAGGTGAGAACAGCTTGAAACTGCTCTAGTTATGCACAAACGCTTTCGTAAATGGTGTTCCAGCAACGTCAGAGAAAAACTTCTTATTGTGAAGGACTCCGATTATTTTGAGAAATAAGTAATAAAATGACATAAGATGTCGGCACTGAGTCCTTGTTCAGTGGGAATTAAAAAAAAAAAGGTGGGAAAAGTTTAAATGACGTGATTTTATTTGAGTTTCATTCCTCCCAGTGGTTTTGCAATCCCCGTGTGATTGTGCCTCCAGTTGGGTGTGCGTCCCGGGCGAAGCTTTGCTGCTGGCTTTGGAGCGTCTCTGCGCAGCGTGCACACCTGTGGAGGGGATGAATAGAGGCAGAGGGAGGAGGGGGGGTGAGCTGCAGAGCTCCAGACTGACTGGCGCCACCGACAAAACAGAGGCCATGCTTGATCAACAACCCAAAACAAACCGGGTCAAACAACAAGCAGCCTCAGGCTGCTGGGAAGAACGGGTGAGAGGCTCCCGGGTGAGGGGTTGTCCCCCCCACACACACACACTACATAAATGATTTTAGTCTTGTCCAGGTGTGTCTAGATACACTGCTATAAACTGGACTCTAAAGCTGGCCCTGAATGGAACTGAGACCCGTGTGCGTGTGTGTGCGTGACAGGGCAAGCTGAGGTTTAACCCTCAGCTCCTCTCAGATTGCTACACCAGTGACAGTTATTGCGTAAAGTGCAGCTGCTGCAGCAGAATGTTCAACAGTTGCAGTTTCACCTCCAGGCCGGATCTTTCTGTCTGAACTTCAGCTGCGTTTCGTTTTAAACTAAAATCACATGTAAACAGGTAAATCACATGTAAACAGGTAAATCACATGTAAACAGGTAAATCACATGTAAACAGGTAAACCCATGAAACACCCACCCACGTCATTTGTTGTGATGTGAGGCCAACTCACCGGTGCAGTGCTGATGTCTCAGCGGCATAAAATCGAGTCCTCTGGTTTTTTCATTATTGATGTCCTCTGAAAGGAGAACAACAAGATCAGAATAAAACAATAATTCTGCGTGAGAATAAAAGACAAACAAAAACAACAAGCACGCGATTTTCAGCAGAATGGACGACAACCTGCCACATCTGGTTTAATAAATTATCTTAAAGCCGACTGAAAGACAAATTGTCTCCATTGTGCGCGTGCACTGCAGGCTGAGGCACTTCAGCCTGGGTAAGGTGGGCCTCTGACACGCTGCCATCATCACGCACATCAGAAAGTCCGCAATCAAATGTGCAATCTGGAAAACAAGTCGCGCGATTATTCAGGTGGACTGATGTGCGGCTTTTTCTTTCAGCATCTGGATAACGACGCGCATCGGGCGCTTTGTCTGAATCTGAGGGGGGTCGGTAGCCTAGCTCAGGGAGGTAAACTGTGCCTCCACCCCCCCACCCCTGTAGCCCCAGCAGCAGTGGGGGCTGTCACGCCTGTGCCGCCGGGTACATCTCACCTGGTGGTGGTCGATGTTGAGCACCGTGAGGGGCGTCCTGCCGGGGTTGGAGGCTGGAGGGGGGCAGGTCCCGGTCCGCTGCTGCTTCTGAAGAGAAGGGTGCGCCTCCAGGGCCAGCTGCAGGTCCAGGATGTAGTCTATGACATGCTGGAGGATCTCCACTTTGCTGACCTTCTTATCCTGCGGGATGGTGGGCACGAGGCGCTTGAGCCGGCTGTAGCAGTCGTTCATGTCGTACTGCAGGCACAGCACGTCCTCCTCCTCCATCCTGCACCGGGAGATGTTCAGGCTCTGCTTCGACAGATAGTGCAGGGAGGGCTGGCTGCTGGAGGAGGAGGAGGAGGAGGAGGAGGAGGAGTCCTGGGGGCGGACTGGAGTAACAGCCTTCATCTTAGATAAGCAGCGGCTCGGACAGGAAACAAATGATCAAGTACACTTCTTTTCTGCAGAGCAGCAAAAACAACAAAAAGCTGAAGAACCGCCGCGAGTGATGGACAGGAAGCACCGTGGTCTGTCAGCGCGTGCAGCTGCGCGCTCCTCACCTCAGCAGCTCAGTGTGCGCTCCGACTGGACGAGCTTCATTTATAGAGGAGAGGGGAGGCGCCAAGGAGGCTGACAGCTCAGGGAGAGAGGCTGCTCCATCACCGGAGCCCGCTGCCCGCAGAGCCCACAGCCGAGCCGTGAAAAAGGCGTGTCTCAGTGCGTGCGCGCGGCGGTGGCTCCAGAGGTGCGGGTGCATGCGTGAGAGAAACGGAGGAGGAAAAACACGGGAGAGAAACAGAGTCAGAGTGCTCATTAAAACACAAAGAGCTCAAAGAACGAAACTAGATCACGCGTCCAGAGGTGATCCACTAGATCCGCCTCGTTTTGTTTTTCGGGCCACACTGATGCGTAATTACGCACTGATCACCCTGATGATGCTGAGGCCAAATCTGACGTTGCTCACGTATGAAAATAAAAACACAAAATTCAGATAAGATGATCTACAATACTGAACCTGACCACATGAAACAATAAAAAATAAAAATGAAATAAATGGATGAATTTATATTGAATTAAAATAAACAGTTTTCATCAGTAAACTATCATCATTGAATTAATTTAAAACCTGACTTTATTTAACAGCTACAAAATTAATCAGTGGAAGGAGTTGAAGGTTTCATTGTGTGGACCAGAACAACTTGCAGCTGCAGCACTCCTCCAGCTCCAGGACACTTGACCACTGCCAGAGAGCCGCCCTGCCGGGCAGACACGTGACCACATCCATCCATCCGTCCATCCATCCAGCCATCCATCATCCATCCATCTATCCATCCGTCTGTCTGTTCGTCTGTCCACCCATCATTCATCCATCCATCCA